CCCGATATTTTTTTTATCTATTACAATTGATGTGATTTAGAAGCATGCAGTTAAAATTGTTTATCAATTTGGACAAAGCGTTGTTTGCTTTTTTTGTCAGTAAAAAATATGTAAAATCTAAATTTTATTTTATTCAAGGATCTAATATTTTTTGTGAATCAGATAATTTTTTTTAATACGTAAGTTATTTTCGTTTTCAACTAGCTGGACTTTAAAGGCACGTGTAGAATCCAATTTTTATTTGTGTGTAAGTGCAAAGGAATATAATAGCGTAAAGATAAATGCGGTGGCTATCACATTTTAGGAGAGAAGAACACAAAAGTTCGAAAAATTTTATCCAATTTTTATTGTTGAGTATAACGTATAAGGGATTGTAAACACCTTAAAGAGTTTAAAAAAAGTAAGAAAATAAAATGTATTTTTAGAAAAAATTTTATTCATCTCGAATCTTCCGATTTTTAAATTTATAAATCTTAAAGCTTTTTTTAAATGGTTTCCATTTGGTAAGTATCAAAATTTTAAGATTAAAGCTTTCAAAAATTAAATTCTCAGTTATTTTTATAATAATATGAAATTTTCTTTTTTAATTTATAAAAAAACAGTACAAAAGCAAGCATATTTAATTCCGTGCTAGCTTTGGTGGAGAAGAAAAAAATACCACAACAAAAAATTACGACTGGATAAAAATTATTAGGCGTGAACAGTGGCTCCATGAAACTTGTACGAATTTTGAAAGCCATTGGAAAAAAATCTGATAAAGTTTCATTTTTTGAAGGTGAGTGATTAAATAAATACATTATATTTTGTTTAGAATGTTCTTTTTACTTTATTTCCTAGATAGAACTCCTAAATTGCAACCTATCTCAAGTTATACATGGTTAACTGCATGTGAAATGTGCTATTTTCTATAATTCAACTTTTCTTTTACTCTACTGGATGACCAATTCACCTCGACATTAAAGAGAGATGGCCTGTTGCAAGTTTTTTTATTTCTATCTTCTTTTTTTTCTTCATATTTTGTGCTCAATATTTCATAGTTGTTTGCTCAAAATGTGTTGATTTCATCTATGGTAATTTAAAATATGCTTAAACAATTCATGAATCTCAATTCTTAGTACTTTTATTTCCACTTCAAAAAACTATAACCATCTATCTTAAATTTATCCTATAATTTTTTTTTAATAATATTTATCACTAGAAATAAATATTGCACCATTATCATGACGATAATATTAATTTTAATCTCTTGAATTTAAGCATTAAAAACGAAAAAAATATCCGCATTGTTGATATCTTCGTTTAAAAAAATGATTTCACATTAATCTAATAGCATGAAATTCTAATGTTTAAAAAAAATGGTTATTTAGTTACTATTTTAGTCAAATAAATAAAAATAAAACTATTTGTAGCAATATTGTTTTATCGAAAAAAACAAACAGACATACTTTTTCAAAATTTGGTTGACAGCAACAGTTATCCAACAAACTTAATCAAGATCCATATAAAATCATTCAGGTAATTGCATATTAAAATTAATGGTGGTTATTTATATTTTTAGTTATCTAAAACTTTTAGTTATCTAAAAACTTTAAGTTATCTAAAAACTTTAAGTTATCTAAATTAATACTTTCCACCTGGAAATCCAATTCGGGCAAATCTTGTTGCAAACAAAAATTAACATTATATCTGTACTTATTAAACAATTTTAAATATCATACCTAATCTACAAGCTTCTTCAATATACAATTAAGACATAAATATTATATAATAAATGTTATAATTTTTATAAAAATGTTGCATCTGAAATTCAAAAATTATTTAGTAAAAAATAATTTTGAATTATTTAGTAAAATATATTACTTTACTCAAATCCAGTTTTTAGGCTAATCGAATGTAAGGGATAAATCAAATGCGGTTCTTGACTTCAGTATGAACGCGTCTTTAAAATATATCCGAATACCTCCTGTTTGTGAATTCCTAATTTCCTATTGTGTAATATGATAACTTTATTACGAAAATAATTTTTAATCATAATGATATTTTTACATAACATCTGTCGCTCTACTCCCTTTATATGTTCCTTATTGTGTTTTATTTTGGCTTTTGCTTGAATTTATATCATAAATTTACTTGAATAAATTATGCTAACGAATCAGTCTCCCTTTCTGGCAATCTTCATTACTATTGTACTGGTGCTATTAAATTGATATATTTTGCTTTGTTTCTTTTAACACAATATTAGACAGAAATATTTTTTCAGCTGTAATCATATGAGTTAAAAAGATGCATATACATATTAAAATTGTTTTCAACTCAATGGTAATTAAAAACAGTTGATAAATACATTATAGCAAAGAAATTTCTGATTTAAACTCAAGAATAAAACTCTATAAACAGTGGTTATTTATTTTAGCTCTTTGCTTCGTAATATCCGATAAAGAACTTTAACAACATTACGGACATCTTTTGTAAATACGTTGGTAAAACAATTCAAAGGACAATTGGATTTTTTTTATTTGCAACAAAAAACTAACTAAGCAAATGAAACCAACCTGGCTAAAATAATAGATGTAAGCGCAATATAGGAAAACAGAAATGAGCACAACCTGTGCTCTAAATAAGGAATCTGATCACTTGTCCAGTTAAGCAACTGATTGATATCCTCAGAGGCGTATAAAGGGAAAACACTGCAATGCGACTGATTTCGAATCGGAAAAATATTGTATTTCTGATATTTAAGAAGCAAAATAAAAGCATTATTTAAAGGAAATATGCATCTATATAGGTAGTTTGTTACTTCCTTCAAGTTGCACTAATGCCCATGCTACAGACGGATTTGCCACTTATATATAAACCTTTAAGTGCTTTCCCGTACTTTTCCCATGGCACCATATTTTGTTCCCTAATTTGTCCATAATTATTTCCCTTGGTATGATTGTAAAGTATATTAAAATATAATATCTGGTCGATATTGAAAATTATAGATTAATATTACGGACTAATATGGGTCATTTATATGCATAGTATTTGAGCAAAACTTTCACCACTTTCACTTTTTACTATTCGCTTCTATAAAAACAAAAAACAATAATTTAAGGAAAAGGAATATTTTATTTACGTCACAATCTTGAAAAGAAATTAAATATAATTTTTAAAATATTGACACTTTACCATGAGCACACCCTATGAGACAACTAACTTGTTGCTCCCTATCACGTATAATACTAATGGCCACGCCATACACGGTTCTGCCACTTATATTAACCTTTAAGTTCTTTCCCTCGCTTTTCCAATGGTTTCCAATTTTTATCCCCCTCCCCCCTATTCCTAAAAAGACAACATAATTAAGTAATAACATGTATCTGTAAAAATATCAGCAAAATTCCTATATTCGAAGCTCTGTCACTTAGAAGTTTATAACAAAAACAAATCAATTTTAATGCCCCTTAACAAATTTTTATTTACTATGCTGCTCTATTTATAAAACAGGCATCATATACCTAATTAATATCTAAAGTATAAAATCAAAAGCTTCTAGTATGAATCATAACAAACATTATCGGTAAGAGCACACTCAGCAATAAAAATAAAACTTTTTTTTTACATGAATACAATCAATATCAGACTTAAACATTTAAAAAAGTTTGGTACGAACATACGAAAGCAAATAAATTTTACTCTAAGTGTACAAAATACCTTAATAACAATGTGTATTGGATAAATATGAGCGAATACCTTACATTCAAAGTTGTGCCACCCAGAACTTACGAAAACAAATACATTTTACTCTAAGTGTACAAAATACCTTAATAACAATGTGTATTGGATAAATATGAACAAATACCTTACATTCAAAGTTGTGCCACCCAGAAATTTGCGAACAAGAACAAAGTAATTTCAGCGCACAGTAAAACAAATTTGGTCATTATTCTGCTCTATTTATGATGCATGTGTTATGCTTAATTAATCTACTAAACTAACATCTAAAGTTAAAAAATCAACCATTTCTTATATGAATCATAATAAACAACATATGTAAAGAGAGACAGAACTCACTTACTAACCCATAAAAATCATCATTTTTTTCATAATATATCGCAATTAATCCGAAACTTGTTTAATAGTTTGTTAAAACTATACTCTACATGAAAATCGACCATTAATATTTAAGAAAATTGAAAAAAATTTTAATTTGCTCATTTTTTTTCCAAAAAGTTATCCAAAATCCCATGGATGGGTGATCGTGTAAGGCTAAGGGTGGGGGCACTAGTGGTTAAATTGCTCTCGCAAGACTTCCGGGTTACTGCTTCCGATATATTTTTACGCCGCAGATTGAAAAAACGCGCCATCATATTATTGCATCATATCTTTTGCAGTATTTCACATGTACCGAGTTCTTTCTTTCAGCCTTTAAACTTCAGCATTATCATATTAATATTATAATCATTAGAATATTTTCTAATTAGGCTAACTTAAAAAGATATTTTTAAAGANTATTCTGCTCTATTAATGATGCAGGTGTTATGCTTAATTAATCTACTAAACTAACATCTTCAGTTAAAAAATCAACCATTTCTTATACGAATCATAATAAACAACATCTGTAAAGAGAGACAGAACTCACTTACTATAACCCATAAAAATCCTCATTTGTTTCATAATATATCGCAATTAATCCGAAACTTGCTTAATAATTTGTTAAAACTATACTCTACATGAAAATCGACCATTAATATTTAAGAAAATTGAAAAAATTTTTATTTGCTCATTTTTTTCCAAAAAGTTATCCAAAATCCCACAGACTTTCATTAGTTGGCTTGCCACCCAATTTATTGTAAGCAAAGTACATGACGTCATGCGCCAGAGTTCTGATCTACGCTACCTGTAGCTCACTTTGACTGCCAATTGTGAATAAGAACCATTTCTTAGCTCAGACCAATTTCTCAATGCAAGCTACAAACTAAAATAGTAAGAGCAACAACTGTTTGATTTTTTTCGCACTATCTTCTTTTAAAAAAAAAAAAAACAAATCGTCAAAATCCAGAATATAGTGTGCTGGCTAATCTGATTTGAAAAATGAATGAGACGAACAGATAAGAACTTGATCTTTTGTGATAAACCTTTACATGGTGGGAAACTTTCAGTGGTTTTCAGCTAGAGCGGGTATTTTAAGAAGCTTACTGTATGACGTAAAGAAGAAATTTAATTTACTGCTTGATATATGAGATAATAAAAGTTTATTCATTTAGAGGCATTTCAGATAAACATCCTTTTTAATCTTCAAGTATTTTCCTTGAACTATCTTCCTGTAATCTTATATCTTCGTATATATACATTTTTTGTGAACGATCCTCGTATATATATATTTTGTAAAAACTTGAAAAATGCTCGAAGCAATTAAATACAAAAGGGGTCGCTTGGAAATAATCGATCAATTACTTTTACCATCCAAAACTCAGTATGAAATTATCGATGGAGTTAAAGCTGGATGGGTAGCTATAAATTCAATGAAGGTAATTTTAATTATTACTTATTTTAAAATTATAGTTGAATATTTGTTTATGTATTATCACTTTTTATGATTTAGAGTTCATTTTACATTAAGGGTATTTGACCTGCAGTTATATGGAGTATGTGCTGCCCTATGTATATCTACATAAATACAATAATAGAATTATTAAAAGAAATGCCTAATAGTAAAATATTTTTTAATGGGAAGACGTAGAGATTCTCGTCAAGACACAATTTTTTTGCGTTGTAATATTTCGAAATAAGGAATAGGTAAATCAAGTAATCAAAATGCTAGAGAATATAAAGTCGTTAGTTGTGTTATTTAAATTTTATGCTAGTTTATCTTCTTGTTCAAGCAATTGTTGTTGTTTTTTAAACTGCATTTTTGAGTATGCATAATTTTAAATTATTTTGCAACTAGAAGATATTTTACATAAGATTCAGTGAACCTGACAAAATACATAGGTACTATCCCTGTGGCAGAATTTTTTCGGACAATCTACGACAAACCACTCTAGCACTATCAGTGTTTTCACTACAGCGCGAGAATCTCACATATTTTTTTCTTTTCTCGCAATAGAAAATGATAAACGCGAGAAGTTAGCGCTCTCCATTAATCAATTTCAAAGTGCGCGAATTTTGAAAAAATTTCGTCTTTTGCCATTTTGAATAAAATCCGTTTCACTTTTCTTCCTTGATCTTTCATTATTTTAAACATTGGTCCTTGTTATCTAGCTTCCCTATTTACCAGTATTGTTCAGAACCGGTGCGAACAGCAGAACACCCCCCCCCCCTCCCGAACCACGGAACCCCTTTCAGAACACATTTCTCTGCTACCACGTGTTCACCGTAGGTAAGGTTTCTTCATGTAAGTCTTACAATGAATGGACAAATGAAAATGAAACAAATGTCAGTAGAAACGGTCAAAACGAAACAAGTATGGATATTTTTCAGCCAAATAAATATAATAGCTGATGAAAAAGTATATATAGAACATTTTCCATATGATGATGCAGCAAAAATATTCAATTAGAAGATGTTAAAATTGTATTATAGTTGAAGAAATAATTTTTTTCCAAGTCAATTTGTGTTTTTTTAATTTTTAGAAATCTCACTTAACTTTTTGAAATCTCACCCTGTTTTTGAGTAAGGGTGAGAAATTCTCTCCCATTTTTTTTCTGTTATGAAAACACTAATATCTTTCTGCAAGATACTTTTAAAAATAACTACTATGCATGTTACTAATTTTAAGTAACAGAAACTTACTTTTTGTTTATAAAAAGAAAAATATTTGAAACAAATAGAATTGTATATAATTTTTTTTTAATTGAATATGTATATTTTCATTATTCTAATATTATGGACGATATTCTCGCATTTTGCGTTAGGAAATATGCATTTATTATTAATTTTGTAAATCATCATCACATTGAGAAATAAATAATTAGAAATCTTGAAATTCGTAGCAGTGACTATCCCGAAAAATCACATGAATCAGACTCTTCAAAAAGAGGTTGCGAAATGTGTGTTTTATTTCGAGATTGGGTTGTTCTAATAAATAATATTGCATTAAAAATATCGGATTTTACGAACTATGCGGAAATCAATCACAATACTAATTGCAACAACAACAAAAAAATGACTGAGCCATGATATTAAATATTTAATATTCAAATTTTCCATATTGTCAAAAATATATCAGGATATTTAAAAACCATGTGAAAATCAATATCAAAAATGCACTCAAAACATAAATTTAGGATACTATCGGCATAAGTTGGGCGCTTCTAAAAGTGATTTGTTAAATGTGCAATACAAATTTTACATACAGAAATTATAGACACTGAGAAATAACCACGAGTTTAAAAAACCCTGTGGAAATCGGCAGCACTTGAAATCAAAATTAAACAAACGATGCCAAAAAAGCTATAAAATGTTTACATTAAAGGTAAGTAATATATATTTTTTAATAGCAATAATTGTATAACTAAAAGCAATAACTATTAAAACACTGCATGGATTAACGAGGGTATCGACGCAACCGAGCGTCTCAACTAGTGAATTCTTAAATCCCTGATTCGAACTTGACATGACATATTAATATCAGTATTTTTTTGAAAAATCTATAAATAACTGAGTAAATCTTAAAAATTAATAATAACTGAGCAATAACTCATCAGGATTTTAAAAACAAATTAATAAAAACTCGTATCAGTAATTGCAGTAAAAAATGATCCAAACACAACATATATTTATGGTTCAGGGATGAGATTCTTCCGCGGATTCGCGGATTTCCGCTTTTTCTCAGATTTTTCCATTTTTCCCGCTAATTTCCGCTGAAATTTTTTTTTGCTCAAGTTAAAATATTTTATGAGGAATTAAATTTTCCGCGGAGCGAAATTATTAAAGTCCTCATTCCTCCCTCTGAAGTTTCTCTAAAAATCATTTCCTTGGGATAAAACTGGTTGATCTTTATACAGGGATGAGATTTTTTTCGCTTTTGTCTCTCGAATTTCAGCCTTTTTATCAAAAACTCAGATTCTCTAAAAGTTTCGTTTTTTTTAAAATTTATTTATTTATAAATATTCCGTGTTTTTTTTAAAAAAAATTCAGTCGTTGAAGTCAAATTATTATATTTATTTACGATTTTCAAAGAAAAACAGAAAATTCAAACTACGTCCTAGCTGCTAATCCTTCCGCATGTTTACTTATATTAGCTATTTTCTCCGATTTCACGCACAGAAAATAAGATTTTCCGTATTTTTTATCCGTCGGCGGGATAGCTCGTATTTTCGTAATTTAGACGTCGCTGCTTCTTGTATTCTGGAGAGAAAGCAAACAAAAAAAGCGAAAAAAAATAGAGGTGGATTTGTGGTGAAAATATTTATTTGCTCATTCAATTAATCTTGTAAATTTTTATTTATTGTGTAAACAAAAAACAATTCAAACAAGCCTTTTAGAAATCCCAAGTCCAGACTCTGCAAATATCTCGATTTTTATTCACGCGATTTTAATATCAATCATCGATTTTCGTATTTACCTGATTTAAAAGTTGCGCATTGCAATTCTTATTTACGCTTTTTAAATATCGTACATTATGACTCGTATTTACGAGATTTAAAAATCTAATATCGTGTTTTGTATTTTTGCATTTTTAAAATCGCGATTTTATTATCAAACATCGATTTTCGTATTTACCTGATTTAAAAGTTGAACGTTGCGATTCTTATTCAGGCCATTTAAATATTGTACATTGCGATTCTTATTCACAAGATTTAAAAAACCAATATCGCGATTTGTATTTACGAGCTTTTAAAACCCTATGTAGCTACGCGAGCTTAAAATCCAATGTCGTGATTCGTTTTTGCAGTTGTAATATCGCGCGATTTAAAAATTTTGCATCGTGATCTAAAAATTACGCATCATGATTTGTATTTTCGCATTTTTTAAGTTCGATGTAGAGTTTCATATTCACCTGATTTAAAAGCCTCATTCGGAATTTATAATCACATGTATTACAAGTTTAAACAAAAATTTGACAAAAAAGTGCGATTTTTATATATATATATATTCTTGGATTTCCTCTTTTTTACTCTCTAACTACTCTCATCCCTGATGGTTGAATCAACACGAATTGTGAGAGTTAAAATTAAAACTTAAAATTTTCGTGAGTTGTGGGGGTTAAAAAGAAAACTAACGCATGATTTAAGTTTTTTATGTGCGTTATATATTAAAAATATTGTATAGATTTTATTGCAATCAAATTTTTTTTAAAAAATGACAAGTGTACCTCATTCATTAATTAATTTACTACGAATCTGAATTTGTAATAAAATCGTCATTCATAAGCTAATTTGGTGTTTTTTGAAAATAAAATGAAAGAATGAACATTTTTAATTTTGTATTATCAATTTGAAATTCTGGAAGCTGTTCATTATAGAATTTTTCAATTTCTTACCGTAATGCATGAGACAATTTCAGCATCCTGAAACAAATATTCCTTTTTTGTTGGTTTTGTAAAGTTAACTATTTTTGATTTTATTTTGCTTTTAAATGTTAATGTAAGAGCCGTGATGACTCAGGGGGTAGAGCGATGCCTGGTCATTATGAATACCGCATCTGGCTTGCACCAACAACAGTGCTGATGTAAGATATCCTCAGTGGTGAACAAATCGTGGGTTAGAGTCTCCTTGATGTCGGGCTAGCCGTGGGAGGGTTTCCTCAACACGTAACACAAATGCGAGTTAGTTCTATCAAAAGTCATCCATAATGACAAATTTCTCCCAATACTTGATCCAGGAGCTCTCTTGTCTTCTGGACTGGGTTCAAAATTACAAGACTACGGAGTTGAACATTGGTAGTTGTAAACCAAAAAAATTTGGTCGGCTGTTAAACGAAAGTTATAAAATAAAAAGTTAATGTAATGTGATTGTAAACAAGCTGGAGCTTGCTAAAAAAAATATTATCTATTTAAGTTGTTGTTTCAAGCTTATATTGCGATTCAAATCTCCAAGAAGAGAATACAAATTTTTTCCCCCAATCCAAATCAGATTTGAGATATTTAATTATCCCATTCACTGATTTTTATGTATAGTTTCTTCAGAACCAGGTTATAAATAAATATATTTTTTGTTTCTTTAGGTTCGTGGTGCACCTGCTATCTCTATTGTAGCTGCTCTCAGTTTGGCTGAAGAACTTGAGAAGAAAGAATTTAAAACTAAAAATGATCTACATCAGTATTTATGTGAAAACTTAAAGTTCTTATCTACGTCTCGCCCTACCGCTGTTAATCTTTCTAAAGTTGTTGATTTATTTATTGAACTTTCCAAGCAATTTTTGCAAGATGAAAACCTTAATAAGGATACTATGAAAGAAAAGTAAATATGACTATAAATAAATGTCATTTTTACCTAAATTGTTATTTTAGTGGTCAAAAATACATTGAATTATTTCTTATTCTTTCCTTTCAAGTATAAGTTAGTGAAATTTCCAAATGCAGTTTAAAAATTATTTTAATTCAGAAACTTTACAATATAAGATCAAAGGGGAAGTTTAAGTTTGGAGTATGTGTTAGTAAGAGAATTATCATTACATCGGCTAACAATTTTGAACTTGTGCAAAATTTAAAACCCTCTTAGGAACTTATTTGTACCATAGCTTTGATTTATTTAAAATAGGCAAAAGATAAACAATTTATAAATTTTTCCTATTGAAGCTATAAACAAGAGGGTATATAGTATTAATTGAATATTTTTCAACCGATTCATCTTCATAATCTTTTTTTTTCTACAGCTTTCTACAAAATTCTATATGCATAGTAATTACCTTTTTTTATTTTAAATTTGTATTATTACAGCATTCAATTTTATTTTATAGAAAAGTACTGCTTTATATGTTTTTTATTTATACCTCTTTTCATTGTAGTCCCAGTTTATTCTTAATCAATTCGTTGTTAATATAGTTTTTTTTTTTTTATATGAAGGGAAAAAGCATATATTAAATGTTATGTGTTCTTAGTCTTTTCTTTTTTTAAGTAAATATATATTTGGCCTGGATTCGAAACACTAAGTTAAAGCTCTAATAAGGAATTTTTGCTGAAATGTTTACTCCTGTTTACATTTATGAGCTTAAGATAAAAATTAGAGGTTTGATTATTTTATTTTTTTTAACAAATGTGTTTTGTTTTCCATTTTAATTTCTACTGCCTCAAGTGTTTTCTATATCAATAATATTAAGTGCCAAAATAATAAGCCTATTATGTTATTAAATTATTATTTCTACACTGAATTTAATTTGTTTAATTCTCAGTTCTAAAGCGGAAAAAAAAACTGACCATCCTGACAATCGGATTTTCACGTTCTAGAACTCAATCCTAATGGCTCGAGGGGGTAACCTCAAAAATTTTTATTAATAAGTGCAAACTATATTTTAAGTTACGAAATCAGACACAAAAATGTACCTACTCTGAATAAACACAACTTTTTTCAACGAACTCCGATTTCTGACCCCCAAAATATAGGGAGTAGCTGCAATCTGATAATTAGGGTCCCAATGGTTTGGTCAGGAGAGTGCTCCAAAGTTTGAACCCCTAACTTTACTTTTTGCGTATTTTACAGTGTATCGAGAACTTTTTAAGCGAATTGAAAATTTTTTACACTGAATAAATAAAATTCGTTTATCCAAAAATTATACCATACAATAAATAATCTTTACTAAATATTTTTATTATTTTATTTAAGATTGGTGGAAGTTTTGGTAAGATATAAAAAATTTTGTGCCATTTTAAAGAATATAATTTTACAAGGCGAATTACAAAATTTGAGCGAAATCGGTAGAATAGTTCCTGAGAAATCGAATTTTCAAAAAGTTTTATTTTTAAGATTCTATTTTTGAGGAACTATTTGTCCGATTTCGCTCAAATTTTGCCATGTAAAATTACATTCTTTAAAGATTATACAAAAAATTTTATACCTTACAATTCAAACATTTTCCGACCAGGCTTAATTAAAGTAATGAAATCTAATAAATATTTTCTATAAGTTTTTTTTTTTTTGCACGGAACTATCTTTGTATAAATTATTTTTACATTTAAGTGCAAAAATTTTTAATTCGCTTTAGAAATTCTCGAAACATGCAAAATTAATATTAAGGAGTCTTAAACTTTGGAACGCCCTCCAGACCAAATTACTGCGACTTCTTAATTTGACCGTCAGAAATTCCAATCCATTGAAGAATGGGTATGTGTCAATGCTGAACAATTGAGTAATAATTCAGAAAAAGTACGTTTTTGTGTCTGATTTCATAACCTAAAATATCATGTGCACTTATTAATTAGCATATTTGAGGTCACCTCCTTGAGCTATTTAAATTGAGTCCTAAAGCGTGAAAATCGATCATTAGATCATAAGTTATTCAGGAGGGTCGTCTTTTTTTCGGTGCATTGTACATCTTTACCTTTATGTATCGATTTACATTGCTCCCTTGATAGACTTAAAAACAGTGCTTTACTGTATAATCTTTTTTACTTTTCATTTATTTATGTTTTTACACTCATGTAAATTGCAGTCTTAGTTTCACAAAACAGAATTTGCTTTACAAAATTAGGGTATTTAAGAGCGCACTTGTGTTTATACTTATGCTTGTATGTTTATACTTATGTTTTATGTATGCCTTTTAGCAATAAAATTATCTAATAAATTTTCAATTGGAGAAAAAAATTCGTAAAATATTAGTAGCAAGAATTTTAAATGAAAAATTAAAGTTGAATCTATTTTTGACAAATTTTTATGTTCATTAAGTTTTAAGAGGTTTGCCAAGTTTCCAATTGTGAATTACCTTTTCACATAATACTTTTTATCATCATTTTATTGTTGTAGTATAATCAAGGAAATGGAAAAATTGTTATTGTCAGACATTCTAATTAACAAAGCTATTGGTTCTTTTGGAGGAAAATACATTACAGAATATGTAAAAGATACATCTGTATCCATTCTCACTCACTGTAATACAGGAAGTTTAGCCACTGCCGGATATGGTACGGCATTGGGTAAGTAATTTCATTGTGTTATTGCATTAAACATTAAATACATGTTACTGGTTTAATTTATTCTTTGGAAAATAAATTGCCAACAGAGCTTGAGAATGTAAATTCTAATAATCTAGATACTCTTTAGAAGAAATTTTCTTATGACTTATTTTAGCAACATACTTATATTTATTTGTTATGTTTTTCAACTTGTCTAAATTAGACTGCTTTCAACTATGTAATTGGAATATGGCTTATTCTAGAGTTAATATAGAAAAATTCTAAATATTCCAAAATTTTTGAAGAAATTAGTAAAAAAATTTTTCCTCATGTTTCATAACTTTTTGGAATTGTAACAAATAAAAAAAATTAATTGTAAAAAGCCTTATTTCTGAAGGAAAATAAATTATGATTATGTAAACAAGTTAGCAATAGTGTAAAAATGTTACAGTTTTGCAGAACTAATTTTGGAGACATGGCTTAAAAAGCAATTAATAAAAATAATATGGAAAATATTTTGCGAATTTGGACTATCTTCTATTTTCAATAAGGCTGATTCAAAACTCATTAATAAAAGGTAAAGATATTTTACTGTTTTATTACAAAGCGTTTTAGTTTAGACTTTCATTCTCTTAAGCTTGTGGCACATAATAATGCAAATTTCTGTAAGTACATTATAACCAAGTTTATAATATAAAAAATTCCCCAAATCTACGAGCATGGTACGGAAACTTATTTAATAATATTGACAACAAAAATTTTCAATTTTATTTTATTTTTTCGGCAGTAGTTCAATATCAATAATCATAGTGCTTGTTGTTGGTTCTACGCACACAACATGTTGTCAGTGGTGTTTTTATATCCTCATTTCTATCCCTAACCTTTAAGAACATTAAACTGCTTGCTATGAATTCATAAAAAAAATACTGATGATCTGAAAAATAGAAAATGTTTAAACGATTGGATTTTATTCCTTAAAACTTAAAAACAAAGTGATATATCCAAATATACATTATCGCAAAGGATAGCTGTACTAGTTATAAATATATCTTAGGCAAACCTCAGAAACTATAACTGTTTCTTAGTAGATAATTTGTTTTTATTTTTGTAAGTTGTATGTATTTAAACATTAAGTTACTGATAATGCTTCATTAAATATCTTTTACTAGGCGTTATTCGATGGCTTTTTGAAAACAACCACCTTAAACATGTGTATTGTACTGAGACACGTCCATATAATCAAGGAGCCAGATTAACAGCATATGAATTAGTTCATGATGGTATACCAGCTACTTTAATTTGTGACAGTATGGTTGCAGCTCTAATGCAATCTGGTAAAGTATCAGCTGTTGTTGTGGGAGCTGACAGGGTTGTATTGAATGGAGACACAGCTAACAAGATAGGAACATATCAGCTTGCTGTATGTGCTAAATATCATAATGTTCCATTTTTCATTGCTTGTCCTAGGAGTACATTGGATTTTAGTCTTAGTTCTGGGGAATCTATACCCATTGAAGAAAGACCATCTAATGAAATGTTGATGATCAACTCCATTCCAATTGCTGCTCAAGGTATGTTTGAAAATTTCCATATAACCTACGTATATATACATTAAAGGCTAACATAACTCTATAAAAAGAGCTGAATATATCTCTTCCCGTTATAAATTATAATAAAGTAATTGCATTAAAAATGATAGTTTTATATAACATAGAAAATGAAAGCAATATGTTACACCAAAATGGAAGATAAATATCATATATCCCAAAGTATAAGTCAATCCCTTATTTTTGATTTTGAGATAGCAAATATCAGAAGTATAAGTTGACTACTGAAAAAATTCAACTATGAAAATTTTTAAAATTAAAAAACATTATAAATAATAATTAAGTCTGCAGTTTTTTTTCAAGCTAAAAATATTTAACATTGCACTTGGTGTATGATACATTTGCCGTCAAATAAGGAATATTATGTTACTGTTTTAGTTGCATACCTTCAGCAACTTACTTGCAATGCTATATTTGCATACTTATCTTTGCCTGCAATGCTATACTTACATACTTATCTTCGCAACTTATTTACTTCATTTAAGTTATCTACGTTTCACTTATTTGTTATGCAGTGGTGCCCTGAAGCACTAATTTGTATATTGTTTAAGAAAAGAATTAAATTTCTTCTTCGCATTGGTAAAGAACTTTCATCATGTATATGAGCAGTAATAAGAATGAATGCTTAAATCTACCTGCATGTTTAAAAATTTCTTATTGAAAATTCTTTTTTCACAGTGGAAACAAAATGAGCAATAAGTTGGGTAGAAATGGGAGGTTAAAAAAAGATAGTTCATACCAATAATCAAACTGTCTAATGTATTTTTTTAAAATTAAGAGTAAGTAAATACTATGTCAAAAAGATGAGTTTCATCAACAAAGATTAGTTAGCGATACTTTTTTTATTTTATTTTGATTTTTATTCATTTTACGAATTAATGTAAGAATGAAGAATATGTTGTCTCTAAACAATTAAATTTATAATTCTGTAATTGTAAATCGTATAGCATATAAATTGATTAAAATGCTTGCAAATTTATGATTTGACCGGACATATTAGTTGAATAATTTTAAAACTTTATTTTAAAAAAGCGAACCAACTTACATACAAAGCAGGACAACGATACAAAAGAACACATTGAGCCAGCTCAAATTATAAAGCAATCCGAAAGAAACGGTAAAACAGGTCCGGAGGTTTGCGTAAATATAAATAAAAAGCATAAATATTAATATAACTTTACATATAAAATCTTACAAAAAGGGCCTAAAAATTAATAGTGAGGCACATAAATAAATGGTGTAATAGTTTACATTTTTGAATAGGTATAAAATGCTGGAATCCTGCTTTCGATGTTACACCAGCTGAACTGATAACAGGAATTATCACAGAAATTGGAGTTTTTCAACCAGAAGAGCTTAAAAATAATGTTATTAAACTTTCAGATATGAATTTATTAAATTAATTCATGTTATGCATTTATGTAACTAGAAGAATAAAAATTATTTTATTATTGTGGTGTTTTTATATATTCTGCTTTATTTGCATATTATGAATAATTTAAAAGCTAAGCATACTAAGCTTTGTCTTTATCTTTGTAATAAATGTAGAATTTGAATATAAATAAAGAATATATTTACAGGGAGAAAATTTGGGAATAAAAAAAAATAAGGTATCAACCTTGATTCATCTGTTAAGTTAAATAATAAAATAAAAATAATTATAAAAGACATAGAACATGATTTGGTTTCAACTCTTTTGTTTCAGATTTTTTTTTTTTTTTTTTTTTTNTAGTTAGCGATACTTTTTTTATTTTATTTTTATTCATTTTACGAGTTTATGTAAGAATGAAGAATATGTTGTGTCACTAAACAATTAAATTTAAAATTTTGTAATTGTAAATCGTACAGTATATAAATTGAATAAAATGCTTGCAAATTTAAGATTTGACCGGACATATTAGTGGAATAATTTTAAACTTTATTTTAAAAAAGCGAACCAACTTACATACTAAGCAGGATAAAGATACAAAAGAACACATTGAGCCAGCTCAAATTATAAAGAAATCCAAAAGGAACAGTGAAACAGGTCCGGAGGTTTGCATAAATATACACTCATGTCCATAAATTAAGGATAATGAAGTTCAGGCACAGAAAGAGACTGAAGCCAAACAAATTTGACTTCTTTGTAAAGTCTATGTATTAAACAAAAGGTAAAGATCAAAAAAGATGCTATATGTTTGACATAATTAATAAAAATTACAATTTTTACTCCCTGGAGCAAATTTCAAAAAAGAACCTATTTACAAAAAACAGTATAACATGGTTAGTATGATGGTTAATACGGAGTATGCCTCCCGGACGATGCAATACAGGCCATACAACGCCTGGGCATGCCGAGTATCAAATTATCAATCTGATCTTGGGGAATATTACACCACTCATCAAGCAATGCTCTCCGAAAGTCCGGTAGACAGATGGGAGGGGGTTTATTGGCTGCAATTTGTCGGCCAAGCATATCCCATACATGCTCTATTGGATTCAAGCCCGGTGAGTATGCTGGCCAATCCATACGGGTGATATCCTCCGATTGAAGGCATTCGTCGACAATGTTTGCACGGTGAGGACAGGCGTTGTCGTCCATAAACAGAAATTCAGCACCCATGGCGCCCCGAAACAAACGTACATGTTGTTCCAGAATGACATCCCTATAGATGTGACCTGTCATCGTTACACTCTGAACATGCAGGTCAGTTCTGGAACCAAGAATAATTCCTCCCCAAACGAGCCATCCTGCACCACCGTAACGGTGTCGTTCAATGGTGTTGTCTTGGTGGTAACGGGTACCTGGCGCTCTCCATATGAAAGTCCGGCGAAAATCAGGCTGCAAACTAAGCCTGGGCTCGTCGGAAAACATCACACAAGACCACTGTTGCGGTGTCCACAATGCATGCTCTCTCTACTCCAGGCGACAGTCAGTTGCGGTAAGTGGAACACATCTGACACGCCTATGAGCATATAGACCAATGTGCCCTAAGCATCTGTACACGGTCTGCCTTGAAACTGTCGCACTGGTAGTTGAAGAGAGCTGACGAGACAGGTCTGATGCTGTGCTCCGTCTGTTTCGTTTGGCAGTAACTGCCAAATACCGGTCTTCATTCGGCATTGTAACTCGGGGGTGACCTGTGCTGTAACGTCTACTCACATTACCATCATCTTGGAATCATTGCCAAAGCCTGGAGATGACACTCTGGGTGGTTGCAAGTTCCTCGGATACTTCCAGCTGGGTACGTCCGCATTCCAGTCGTTTGATGATTCTGCCACGTAAAAAATCATCCAAATGCTTCCTTTGTGCCATAACGATGCGGTTATTGCACTGAAAGGCTTTTAAAGCGCTTGTGAACAATTTTACTTCTTTGCCACCATTCCTTATATACCCCTATCTTACACTCTCGTCATTGTGACCTACTACTAGCGTCATCTAGTTGTTTCCTGTAATTTGCATATTCTTCTTCAGGATGTGTGTGATAATTCTACAGGTGAAATTTTAATTTTAGAGTTTGATTTCCGTGTGATTCTGAATTATCCTTAATTTATGGACATGAGTGTAAATAAAGAGCATAAATATTAGTATAACTTTAAATATGAAATCTTACAAAAAAGGCCAAAAAATTAATAACGAGGCACATTATACATGGTGTAATAGTTTACATTTTTGAATAGGTATAAAATGCTGGAATCCTGCTTTTGATGTTACACCAGCTGAACTGATAACAGGAATTATCACAGAAATTGGAGTTTTTCAAGCAGAAGAGCTTAAAAATAATGTTATTAAACTTTCAGATATGAATTTATTAAATTAATTCATGTTATGCATTTATGTAACTAGAAGAATAAAAATTATTTTATTATTGTAGTGTTTTTATATTTTCTGCTTTATTTGCATATTATGAATAATTTAAAAGTTAAGCATACTAAGCTTTGTCTTCATCTTAGTAATAAATGTAGAATATATTTACAGGGAGAAAATTTGGGAATAAAAAAAAATAAGGTATCAACCTTAATTCATCTGTTAAGTTAAATAATAAAATATAAATAATTATTCAGAAAAATTATTAAAGACATAGAATATGATTTGGTTTCAACTCTTTTGTTACATATTTCAGATTTTTTTTTTTTTTTTTTTTTAAATTTACTATTTATAGTCCAGTTTTATTGATTATAAATATCAGATCTATGATCGTGACAAACATGAAGAATTTTTTTAAAATAAGACAACTAAACTAGCCTGTAATATAAAATCTATTAGCTTTTGATACAAATATACAATTTTTACAGTGATAAGAAAAGTTCCATCTAAAGTAGACACAGTATCACATAAACCAATTAAAATCATATGGAGGAAAAAATCCATTGGGGCGAAATCGGTCACGCAAATATGGAAATGCTTGCTGTAGATCTGGATCCAAATCTGAAAATAAAATGTACTAGCAATTCAAAGAAAAAAATAAAAAGATGCATGTATACATTTTAATAAGAAGTAATCAAAACTTAACATATTTTTCTAAATGATCAAAAATTTCTATTTTACAATTTGTAAACTTGGTTTTGTTTAAAGTAGTTGTACAGACCTCAACACTAACTATCTAGATAACTTTGACAGAAATAATAAAATAATGTAAAATTGTGAAAATTAAATTTGGGAAACTTAGTTTGTCTCGAACCGTCTTCCCCCCTCAGGAAGGGTTTATTCGATTAACAAAATAATAATGAAGATAAACAAATTTATGAAGAGTCCGATTAAAAGATAAATTATTTTGTGAAGGGTCTGTTAACGGACCCAAATTTCTTCTAAACAGACCCCAGGAAAAGCTGACGAATTTCAAGGAAGTTGCATTTTAAAGTTGTTGTAAGTAATAAGAAATTATCTGTGAATCTCAAAATAGCAGAAAACATTGCTTAATTGCATTGTTCATTATTGTCCTGATATTCTAATGAAAAATATTTTGTCCTAACTAGCTAGATTTTCATTACAAAATCTTTTTCACAACTTGCAAATAGTATTTTTCATATTAAATCAATATAAACTAAAGCTTTTATTTTAATATTTTAGTGATATGTGGATGTTGGCAAATGATTGAAATTTCCTTAGGGTATCCGCACACCAGGAAATTCATGATTTTAACTATTTTTTTATAACTCCTGTCCTCCATAAAATACTAATCCCCCCCCCCAAATTTCCCAGTGTACTGAATATCTGAATTTGTAACAAAATCCCCACTGACAGTCATATTTTATTAAAATATAAAATGTTTTTATCATGTTCTTTAAAAAAATGAAAGAAAAGCCATCATTTCTAGAGCGGATTATCTTTTTAACTTCTGTGATTTCAGAATTTTTATTATTATTTATTTATTTTATCTTATCGATTTCAAATTCTAGCTGAAGCAAGCCAGTCATTGGCGAATTTTTTTTATTCCGAAATGAGAACAGAAATATCAGGAGTATTTCTTTCCTTTCCAATGAACAAGAAAAGTATCTTTAGAATATAGTTCTGCAAAAAAAAAAGAAAAACAAATTATTCTCTTTCTTTACTCTGCTTTGTTTTAAATTTAAAATCTATAAATATGAAGATGCAGAGTATAACAGTTTTGGTCATATCTATCATTTTGATTGATGTTGTTATAATGCTTTTTTAAATTTATTGTTGTGTTTTTGTCAGAGAAAATAGTAACTTTGTTAGTCATGGAAAGTCATGAATTTGAAAATCTAAAATGTAGCAGATACCCTGTTTCCTTTATTCTTTGGTATTTCCTTTAGTGAACACATTGTTTCATAGAATTTGCTGTTATTCTAAAATTTTGTTTAAGCTGTGTAGTGTTATTTAAAAATTCTTTTACATACAAGTAATATACATACTAAGTCAGTGTTTTCACGATAGCGCGAGAATCTTGCATATTTTTTTCTTTTCTCGTATTAAAAAATTATTACGGCGAGAAATTCGCACCTTCTATAAATCAGTTTCAAAATTCGTGAATTTCTCGCATTTTGGAAAATGCTTTGAATTACGCCATTTAGAACAAAATCCGTTTCACTTTTCTTCGTGGATCGTTCATTATTTTCAACATCTGCCCCGTTATCTAGCTTCCCTATTTACCAGTATTGTTCAGAACCTTTTCGAACAACAGAACACAACCACGAAACCCCTTTCAGAACACATTTCTCTGCAACCACGTGTTTACCGAAGGTAAGGTTTCTTCATGTAAGACATTCAAATTTTTTATGCACTTATGTAAGATGGACAAATACCTTGTAAAGGCAAAATCTTCTATGATGATGCACCAAAAATATTCAATTCTTTAAAAAATAGAAGATGTTAAAAATGTATTTTAATTAAAGAAATGATTTTTTTCAAGAGTTTTTTTTTTTTTTAGTTTTTAAAAATCTCACTTAACTTTTTGAAATCTCACCCTGTTTTTGAGAAAGGGTGAGAAATTCTCACCCATTTTTTTTCGATGATGAAAACACTG